TCTATATCTATCTATATTTATATATATATATATATATATATAAAATTCTAATTAAATTAATAATATTGAAAACAATTGATTATATTTGACTTTTTATTTAATAATTGTAAATAAAAAATAGCCAGTATAAACACGCCTATGACATGCATCAGTTGAAATCTATATTAAAGTGACAGGTTGTTTAATGTTCCTCAACATGCGTAAAAAGCTCATCTGTACTTCATATGGTTCCTAATAAGCAGCAGCTCATGTTGACTTGTGTGTGTGTGTGTGTGTGTGTGTGTGTGTGTGAGAGTGTGTGAGATACAGGTGGGCAGCTGAGCAAAGTCTTACATCACAGTATGATATAATAGATGACAGTAGCGCTATATATCATAATTTTCCAGTGGAAATTCAACAAAAATGGTTTGTTGATTAAATAACACTAAAACACATTATTGATTTCAAAACAAAAGACTCTTAAATTATATAATTAAAATGATTAAAATAATTCAGTATTATATAAATAAATTTACTATCTTTTTTTTTTGTTTTGTTAATTATTAAAATATTAGATATTTATAACAAACAATAAATATATTACGCAATATTTAATATTTAACTATATCTTATTTAGAATCATAAATTGGTATCAAAAAGGTGACTGCAGGCTCAGTTTTGACTGGATGAGAGACGAGATACAAGTTGTATGTTAACTTTATGCAATATGTGCATTAACACAATATACCACTTTTTTTGGCTGGATATTCAACAAAAATGATTTAGAGATTAAATATCAATATATTTGTGTGTATTTTGGAATAATCCTAATCAAAATTAAAATGATTTAAATAATATAATAAATTATAGTTTTTTTGTTTAATATGTAGATAAAAATAATATTAACATAAATAAAATAAATATAAATAAATAAAAAATGTAAATAAAATAATATTAACAAACATAATATTATGTTTTATTTGTTTAGGAATTGTAACTTAATAATCAAAATATAGTTTCCTCAACATGCGTAAAAAGCTCATCTGTACTTCATATGGTTCCTAATAAGCAGCAGCTCATGTTGACTTGTTTAGGAAGCGCTCCGAATCTCTGCTGGCTGTGTTTGTGTTGTGTATATTGTGTCAGCGTGCAGTGCTGCTGTGTGTTCAGAGAAGGAGCTTTTTGTTTGTGGGTTTTCACGCTGAAAGCGTCTGAGCGTCCGCAGGGTCAGACGGGGTTATATAACGCTTATATATAACGTTATATAACATTCTTCACTCAGATCCCCTCTGACGTGTTCAGGACGTCCCGCAGGAGCTGATCAGGCGTTTGTGCAGGAATATTTCAGCTTATTCTCCACTCAAATCCCCATCGGATCACTTTCTGGTGTCGTCCTGCACTCACACAGAACATACTGAAGGGTTTAATCCCTTCTTTAAGATACAGCCAGTAATAGGTTGAAATATGTTCCTTTTTTTTCTTTCCAAAATTCTGTTGTATTTTTTTTTCCCCAAATTTCATTTTGTCCCCCCATTTTAAGCTTTCTGGTCTTTCTGGATGTTGTAATGGTGTTAGTAATCAAAAAGTAATTAATTGCAGTCATGAAACTTCTGCAGTTTAACGACAATTTAGTAAAAGTTCACCATTACAAAAAAATAAAAAATTTTAGGGCCCTATGAAAGATTTTTTTTTTTTATGTTTCTCAAATTCTGTTACATTTTTCCAAATTCTGTGTTTTCTGTTTTAATTATTTCTAGATTTAATGGTTTGATTATTTTCTCTGGGTTTTAATTGTTTAATTGAATTTTAATTAAAACTTTATTAGTAATAGTGCCCTATTATTGATTAATTTAATTTATCCTTTAATCAAATGAAAATCAAATCCTTTCAATGAATTTTTTTTCCCTTAAAAATAGTTTTATTACTATTATTATTATCTATGTAGTAGTAGTATTATTATTACATTGATTTTAATTTATTTCTATCCTTTTTTCTCCATTACTTTTACATTATTTAGAAATTTCATGTGACAAAAAAACATCATAATAAAATGAAAAATAAAGTATCAGTAGTGATTAAGCTTAGCTATTTTTATGTATATTTCTTTTAATAATTAGAAAATATTCTAATGGTTAAGTCTTTATTGTTTTACATTAAGTAGAAAGTTTCTTATTATTGATTTTTAAAATTATCCGCGATTGTTATATGCCATATTTTCCAGTTTTAATGACATTAATGTGTTTGACTGTGGACATAAAAATGCAGCTTTTATAGGTTGCTTCTGTTGAATTGTTCTCTCACAGGATTGTGGGTGTTCAGTTCACAGCATGATGCAATTCACACCCGAGATCAGTCGGTGAATCTGAAAAACTGGCTCCTCAATAAACAAATAACACATGAACACTTCACCTGAAGAACTCCTGTCTAGTGGTTTTATTTGTACCAGGGTGTTAACTAAAACCATATGTGACCCTGGAGCACAAAACCAGTCATAAGGGTCCATTTTTCAAAACTGAGATTTGTACATCATCTGAAAGCTGAATAAATACGCTTTCCATTGATGTATGGTTTGTTAGGATAGGATAATATTTGGCCGAGATACAACTATTATTAAATCTGGAATCTGAGGGTGCAAAAAAATCAAAATATTGAGAAAATCATCTTTAAAGTTGTCCAAATGAAGTTCTTAGCAATGCATATTACTAATCAAAAATGAAGTTTTAATATATTTACAGTAGGAAATGTACAAAATATCTTCATGGAACATGATCTTTACTTAATATCCTAATGATTTTTGGCATAAAATAAAAATCAATAATTTTGACCCATACAATGCATTTTTGGCTATTGCTACAAATATACCCCAGCGACTTAAGACTGCTTTTGTG